GGGACGCCCACTGCCGGCAGCTCCCCACCCCAGCTCACCTCTGCTCCGCCTCCTCCCCAGCACGCCGCCCCCGCTCTAATTCTCCTCCCAGGCGTGCGGCGCCCAGCAGCTGATTGGGCTGCAAGCCTGGGAGGCGGGAGAGGTGGAGCGGCCACCGCGCGCTCGGGGAGGAACGCTGTAAAAAAACATTGGGGGCACCGCTTTTTGGCGCCCCCAAATCTTGGCGCCCCCCCTAGGCAACCGCCTAGTTCACCTTAGGCCCAGATCCTCAGCAGTACCTAGGTGTCTAAGTCCCGCTGCAATCAATGGGCGTTAGGAGCCGACGTGTCTGAGGAGCTGGGCCCAGCCCTTGGGGGCTTCCTGGAGTCTCTGGTTCTTTGGTAAAATCCCTGCTGGGCTCTGGCGGTTTAGGGGTTCGTTGGGTTTGGGCAGGGCCGGCTTTAGGAAGTGCGGGGCCCGATTCAAATAGTTTCGACGGGGCCCCGGCAGGGTTGACTTAAAAAAACAAAACCAAACAAAACATAAAAAACCCACATGGGGCTTGTACTCACTGGGCCGCGCTCCTAGTCTTTGGCGGCGGGTCCTTCACTCGCTACAGGTCTTCGGTGGCACTGAAGGACCTGCCGCCAAAGACACAGAGCGCCGTCGGGTGAGTAAAAATTGAAAAGGCGCCTCTAGCCAGGGAAGGGATTCTCTGCCACTTGCCCCCCACTCTGGGCAGCCCTGCCACTCGGCGCGGGGCCCTCTTAGGCACGGGGCCCGATTCGGGCGAATTGGTGGAATTGGCCTAAAGCCGGCCCTGGGTTTGGGGGTGTTTTGGTGAGTGACTGTCACCCCAGCTCATCTTCTCGGCCCGAGCTTATTTATGATCACGTGGAAGGTCCCTTTGTGCTCCCAGAGGAGCCTTCGCCTCGCTGAGACCCAGACCTCCTGAGATCTCAGAGCAGCGCAGTATTGGGCTGGGCAGACCCCACGTCCCGGGGGCAGGTGGCCGAGCAGGATGCCCCCGGCTCAGCCTGGAAGCCGGGCCTGCACTGGACTCTCTCCTCCCTTCCTCCCCGCAGTGTTCGGCTCCTTAGTGCAAAGCTACGTGGACACCATCCGCAGCGGGCAGGTGCCCTGCCTGGACAACGCGGTGACCGCCATGGCCGCCATCGAGAACGAGGCGGCCCTCAGGGAGGCGCTGGCTCACTACGCGGCCGGGATGGGGGGGCTGCGGCTGCCGGCGGAGCTGGCCGAGCTCTTGGCGGCGCACGGGACACACGAGGCGGACGCCCTGCAGCTCTTCATGCAGCGCTCCTTCAAGGATGAGGGTTACACGTACCACAAGCGGCTGATGGTATGTGAACATCACGGGCCCTGCGGTCCTCCCTGAACACTTTGCTGCCAGGCCGTGCGCACAGCGCGGCTGTCACGGAGTATTGGGGACCTCAGGCCCCGGCACCCCCGGCTTCCTGCGATTCACCATGCCTCTCAGCCAGCCAGTAAAGCAGAAGGTTTATTTGGATGACAGGAACACAGTCCAAG